TTTAGCTACAGAGAGATATCTACGTAGGCTCTCATCTGATCAAGCGTACACATTTATGCAGCTATTATATTGATTATAATAGAACAAAGAATTAGACGAATTCTCACTACTCGAAAAACATTGTCTGTTAAGTTAGTTAATAAAAGGGCTTAACAAAAATTAACCATAATCGAAATTGGTTGTAGAAGAGTTGTCATAAATATAGGTAGTGAAAATAACATGATTTAATAATAAAAACTTGTTTTGTGGAATTACCATTATTATCATTTAGATGTAGTTCGTCATCATTAAACATTTGACTTCTTGTCTTTCTTACTCTACTAACATTAACCGCTAGATGGTTGTGTTAACCAATGTAACTAGCTTCAACCCTATGTAAATCTTATACAACTGATTACATTTGAACCGTGATAAAGTGGATTTATGCCATTCTGATTAAATTCACTGTTCTTGTTCTGTTCGAACTGCTTTATTGTGTTAAACTAATTAATTTTGTACAAATTCTATGATAAATCTAATTGTTGAGGTTTATTCTTTTTTTGGAGCACTTGACTAGTTCTTTCCAACGGTATGTAGTGTGAAGTATGAATCTGTTTGTTAAAAAGATGATTCAACCTCTCTGTATTGTCCTTATTAAGTCATATTTGGAGATCTCAGTTGAATACAAGGATGATTATGCCATTTATGTAGTTTACATTTGCCTTGATTGTTTCATCTCTATGCTGAACTTATGGTGCAGCTTGAAGCGATGCACATAAATATTAGGTTCTGTGTCACTGATTTGACTCAGTAGGAGCGGTAAACTGACTAGTAATAACACTGAGCTTATTAAACACACAAATTTTTTTTCTAAATTCAGAAATAAGGTAGAGTAATCGTAACATGTTATTCAAAATTTTGCTAAATGAAATCAGGTATGGCAATGAGGTCAAATTTATCTACAGTTGTGTTTTTACTGCTAAGTATATGAGTAGTTTCTTCTACGGAACCATAATGTACATTGAAGTATGAATATATACCAACAAGTATCTTTGTTTTTAAGAAGAACATCACAGTGCACTTATATCCAGGTTTTTAAAGTGGTAGAGATATAGAAATTTCTCAACGTTGTACTTTCCAATTATTCAAAGACCATTGGAAAAACACATTACTTTTCTATAATTTTGATAGGCTTTTCTCAACATGAGTAGAATGTTATTTCTAATGACCGGAATGTCAGATATTTCTGTTTTAAACTAAAATATTTGACGGAATCTACTGAACTGTGTAATACAAAGCAGGAATACTCAAATGGTTTACTTTAATTAGATTCCGAATTAACTATTGTGTATGTGTGGATAGATAGAAAATCGCTTTATTTTCATACTTTAAAGTTTATCTATTCGGTGAGTCTATAATTTATGGACGGCCTTTCAACGACGGCAAATAGTGAACTTGAGAATGTTCACGTAATAACTAGGACTAAACGAGGTTTATAAACCAGTGTAAGTAATTGGAATTATAATTTACAGTTGATGGTTAGGGTTAGGAATTAGATTTAGTGTTTTCATAACAAACTGACATCAGCTAAAATGCCAGCACGTTATTTAGCCAAATGTATGGATGAATTTCGCGTCAAAATTCAAGACTTGTTATCTTATGTCTGATTGGTTCGTCCATAAATTATAGTCTCGCCATTTATTCTTGTTGACTGTGTTGTTATGTTATTATTTTCGTCTTTGTATACCTATTTTTAGTAGTTAACTTGTTATTTTCTCCACAAATTCTCACCTACTTAACAACGTTAGAACGAAAATTTTGTTTGAATACTGTTAACATACTCATTGAGGGGAGTCTAAGTGGTTGATTGTTGGTGGTCTTGTCCAGTAAGGTTTTACTTCGCTTCGCTTCTTTGTCTCTGCTGATTTGGAATGTTGTTATTTTTAAAAGTATAATGAATAATTCATTTGATTCAATAAGTAAATGGATTTGCATAAATCCATTAATATTTTGTCATTTAACAATGAAACAAAATGGAAAATTGACTTTAATAGATTATTTCTGTAAAGTTTGAGCTGTTCAAACCATTTGTAAAACTCTAGAAATAATATTTCTTGTTTCTTGTTTCTTTCTGTGAGAGTTAATAAAGGAGATTAACTGAATTGTAATCGACGGGAATTCCACTTTTTCAATATATAATACATCATCCTATATTAATAACTGTTCATAATTTGTTCTTCGTATCAATTATTCAAAGTATAAGTAATACATTAGTCATCGTGTTTAAACTAATCGAAATATTTGATGGTTCTTCAGACTGTATATAACTTTAAAAGACCACATTCCCTTGTCAATTATTCAGGTTACTTTGGTTCTTAATAGTATGCTCCTTAGTTTATTATTGTTATTCAAATCTTAAATGTGTAATTACTTGTTAAAATGATATCGAATGTTCTAACAGGGTGAATAATGGAGAATTAACTTATGGAACTGTTTCACTAATCATTAACTTTTGTTGTATGATTAATAAATAAATTGGGTTATCACATTTCCATATTCAGTGTTTTTCCAAGGTTCTTTGAATACATTAACTAATGCTGCAAATGTTACCATCCCTTAATTATCACATACTAATTGCTCATTGTTTGCTTCATTTTCTGTCACTTAACGCTTTGTTATATCAAAAGGATGTTTTTTTAATCAAGGTGTGTTGCGGTCTGATTATTTGTACATATGAACCTATGAGTGCTTAATTTGTAATGATAGATTTGCCTACTTTCTGTATTCTCTTAGTGAATTCAGTTCTGGGATAAAAAATGCATTCATTTGATCAAATAGACGTTTATATTACCTTGTGACCGCTCAAAATTATCGTTGTTGTACGAACTGTGTCTGAATTCGAATATAGCATTGATTGTGCTTACAATGGGGTCAGACAAGTGAGGTAATGAAGTAGGAGCATTTAAAGGAGGACCTTAAGATTATTGAGAGATTACATTATGTGAAAAATAAACTTGCGACTCGGGTAAAATGAACAATATGACAAACAGAATAAACGTCGGGTTCACCAGATAATTGTGATGTGCCAAAAATTATATTAACTCAAAAGTGATAATAAAGTTATTACGTCCAAAAATTTATGTAATAATATACTAAATATAATCTATAAACACAAGAAAAATTTACTGGACGTTACTTAAATTGTCAGGACTTAGCGTGTTTGAGTTGCATTTGGTTTAATAATACACAATTGTAGGTAATTAATAATTCCAATAAAGACTGTTATAATTCGAGCGGAATATCTAGATGGAGTATATAGTGGAAATATAGCTGTGGTCTATAAATGTAGATAATAAATATTTTGGAGTTTAGTTATCATAACAACAGACAATTGAGAACGGTAGACATGTGTGTATAGCAGTGTATTTATGAGCGGTTATCAGTGTGTTGTGCTATATGTGATTCCAAACGCAAGAGGAAATATTCAGGGTAATGCAATTTTAAACAACTTTTACAGCTATTTGTAGTAAATTTACAAATTATGAGAACTAACAAAAAGACGCAATTAGTATCGAAAATGTAATTACAAAATAAGTTTGTCGTGACTATCTCCACGGTGTATTATATATCAGAAGGTTCATACAATGTCATAGAACTTGGGGACAATTATCAACTAACTTGAATACTATAATTCCTTTTGCTAAGTTTTCATTCTCACTTAAACAGCTAAATAATTTCCATACAAGCGTAATCAAATATTATTGAGATCATAAACCAACCTAAATTAGACAACCAATTAAAACCAAGAAACACTCGATAGCTGTTTTATTCAGGTTCGGAAATCCACGGGTATGCCTTTCCACGTCTTTTCCATGAGTCGAATCCGAACGCCTAAATTTTAAATCTCTGTTTCATTATCCAGTAGTTTATATTTATAACGTCAGTTGGTTCGTAATTTTGTGCACTCATCTTCCTACATCTTTTCTGATTAACTGCCTCACACTGAATATGGTTGAACTCTATTGGTTCTGCCTTCTCATTAGAACTTCAGGAATTACAATATAGGGATTTCGTGGAAACCATTTAATTTCATGGTCAACAACTGTTGACTTGTGCTGAGACAAAACAGCTGTTCAGTTTCTCCTGATTTTCAGTGATCATTTAACTTAGATTGACTTGTGATATCAATTGCACTCAGTTAATTGTTTGCTTCTTTCGTCTTCGTTTTGGTTGTTTATTAAACAGTCTATGTGGTCGAAATCAAAAGTCACAGAGTTATTTTGAATCCAAATGATAAAAATATAAAACAGTTTAACATGTGACTGCATTTTTTGGAGATTTTTAATGAATCATAATTGTCATAGGACCAAATTGTATAAATAAGTGAAGTGTATTTACATCAATTAATGATGACGAAGGTTTTCTAAAACACTTCTTTAATAAACGTCATTAATTTATATATTTTTGCTCTCAACGATCTTAATACCAAACTTTTATTCACTTCATCCGTTTGTTTATTGGTTTTAATGATTTTTTTAGGCGTTGAACTATGTCCTTAGCCAGTTATAAACAAAATGATACCTGATGCATGTGTGCATTTGTCCCCTTCTGGAAGAAATTACTTTTGGTTTCTTGGGTTCGACTGTTAGGAATTAAGGTGGAAGTACATTAAGTACATCCTACTTATCGTTTATTCATCAATAATTATTGGTAACACAGTATATCAAACAGTTTACAGACATTTGTAAAAGAAACCTCTCTCCATGTGTGTGCTTTAGCTATTACTAAAAACACATCACGTCAGCTATTGAATAATGGTCTCTGTCACTCTTACACTGATAATTCATATTTTACTGTGATTTAACAAGAAGGAGGAAGTTGTTTTCATTGGCGGTATTAAACTTTATGAAAAACGTTTTTTCACAATTTATTACTTTTTCTCTGTTTTCCTCCTCATGATAAAATGTTTATTATGATTTTTCTATCTCTCACTTTTTCTCTTTATACAACATGTTTGATAGGTAAGATTAGTTCAAAAACAAGACAATGGCTATATTTATGCTATGAAGATTTTGCATAAAGCAGATATGCTACAAAAGGATCAAGTAAGCACTTAATCTTAGTCTTGTCATAATTAACCATAGTTAATATTATTCGGTATATATGGGAATAATGATTGTTTATTTTATCTTGTTTAATTTCCAATTTTATTAATATTGAATTCACTTCTTGAGATTATGACAATATTTTCTCCTTTTATAAAACACACCCTTATTTGAATTTTTGAAATAAATTACTGTTGAAAATTCTAATGGTTATATAGAGCAGATAAATTCTATAGCTAGTGGTAGAATCTAGGATAGGTGTTAGCGGAACATAGACTGGATTAAAGCATGCTCAATGCATGATTGCTTTGGTGCACGCTGATTGGCTAATTCTTATCCAATCAGCACTAGTCGATTGTTGGAGAATACTCTGGAATCTTCTTATGTAAAAACTATAAATATACTGACGTTTTCCCTATTGTGCTTCTGGCTTGCATCTTGCTTCCATCTAACCTTGTTATTTGGAATATAACCTCTTTCCTGTTCAACCGTGTTCTGATTTGGGGTCTTGTCGAGTGAATCGGTGTCCAAGAATACTAAGCAATAGGAATAGCTGGGTTATACCGTAAGAAAGAGATCATAACAATAGGTGTTCCATTATTTGCACACCTACATCATCCCAGTATTGATGTTCAAGTTGAGATTTGAACCCTAGTATATATCTCTTCAAACACCAGTATGTTATTCATTGAGTCACTGAGTCCAGCTAGCCATTAACGTTTTTGGTCAGAATGATGTTACTGATATGTGTTCTATTCATCCTGGTGTCGATACTCTTGATTTACATATAATCAGTCCTTGATAGGATATTTGCGTTCTGTGCAGATTGTCTCGATATAATCATACAACAAAATGCTCGTTCTGTATGTTACACTGCTGGCTACAATCCATTCATTACATACAATTCCATATAATTCTGTTTTCAAGGTTCCCAAAAACGCTTTTCTTTCAATACGAATATTTTAGGAATAAAGCAAATTACAAACTCAATAAGAACTGCCAATCTTGATTATATAATTCATAATGACAGTACGTATTTGGAGGTGTCACGTTCTCTGAACGAAGTGATCTAACTGTAAATCTTTCATTGTTATTCTCGAGATATATACATTAGATACAGAAATAGCCATGAAAAATTAGTCTTTTGCAACCTAGAACTTGGCACACACATGTATCGACGTAGAAGATATGACTCGAGGAGCAACATTTTTGCGTTTACTTAGAGGCTAACATCCCAAACATGTTTGCATTGTTGCTCATAGTGTTTAGAAGGCTGCATTTTGTCATCATGGTGATCAAACAGGATTATGTCATCTATGTATTCTAAGTCAGCAGGTAAATATATACTGAAGGGAGATGAATCGGTAAAAATTCAGGCGATGAGAGGGCTTTCTTTAATAATATGTTTATGGAAAAGTTGAATAAATTTGGAGGAAGCTGTGACAACCATGGCGAATACCATTGTGTTGTTGATTCCAGTGACAGTTTGGTACCAGTGATATTGGATTATGTCTAGTCTTGAGACTAGTTAGTATCTAAATCAATCTAGCTGCTAAAACTAGACCATCATTCCTAAAGATCTCCGATGTTATTCCATTAGAACTTGTTTGCCTCCCTCGGTTTGGATAAATTATAGTTTTCCAACTCTGTAAGAATAGAGGGGCCTTATTTCGACACCCTTTTCTCGTTGTTTGCTGACAGTAGGTAGCTTGAACGCCAAAATTTGTCGCATTCGGTTGATAAGTTTGGCTGTTTGGGGGGGATAACTAATCAGTAATTATCAATAAATACTCTGCTTTGTTATAATATTAATTGACTGACCATTGTTCCGTGCTTATTGTATAAATTTTAAATGGATAAAACTTCATTAACTCTGAATAGTTTACGAAATAGTTACAGACTGCAATTTCTTCACAAATCTTTGTCAGAAGATATATATGTACTACTGACCATTGTCATGTAGTCCATCGATTTGTAATGTGTTTGTATAGATTTATTAGCTTCTATACCATTCGCTCAGAAATGTTGTTATTCTACATTTGTACTCGTAATACATTTGTTTTGCCTATAGAGTTACAAAAAAACAAATTGATTTTACTTACACAGAAAAAACATAACTTATTATTGTTACTATTTTTTCCATTACAATACATGTTTTCTTTTTGTTTTCCCATTGTAACTGTTTATGAATATTTGTGTAATTGTAGTTCTATCCATAAATTACTCACTGAAACACAAAAGAACTATACATCACAACTATAAAAATGTTGTAATACACATCAATACAATAGTTAAATTGACCATTAATCTTAGTTACAAGTACACATATATGAAGGACATAGATACACTCACCGTTTGTATTGATTTTGTTTTCATCTACGTTTAAATTATCACGTTTGTAACACTGAGATAGCTGTTAATATTATTAGTAATAGTAATAGTAGTGGTCGTATTGTTATTAATATGGGTTTCTACGCTTATTGATCCCGCGTTTTTCATTTGCGTGTCATCATTATAATTATCAACATGTGTGCAAACGTCACTTGTTGAGTTTATTTTCGCTTGAATTCCTCTCGTTTTTTTAATGATAATGAGATAACATTGTTGTGTTGTTTACTTGAATTACTGTCATTTGTGAAACAAAAATGTGGTTAAAACTGGTTATCGATATCAAGTTTTAGGTTGCTCACCCTCTATCTATTTGTTTATTGTAGATGTAAATAACAGGGATCTAGTCTAAAAATAATTAATTCTCTACAATATCTGGAAGTCTTCGGTTCTTATTGAGTCTGAATTCAAATTACTTTTAAATTATGTATATGGTTCAAACAGCGTTCCACAGCTCTCTTCTTTCTAACAGTTTCCCGAATGAAATCCATAACCTGGAACACCTAACAAAACCAATCTGCTAATGAATCGCCATATACTTGTGGACTAGTGTTATTGATAAAATAGTAATATATAATTTTCTTTCAAAGTTGATTTCTGTCAATTTGATTATGAATTTCCATCGCTAATTAGAGTAAATTATCGATATAGGTGGTTTCAGAGAAAAATTATAATTAAAGTCATAGTTTTAGAGCATGAGCTAACTTTAGTTAAAGATAATCACTCGAATCAAGGAAACAATGAACATCTGTTTTTTCCTAGTATAAGACACCTCAGCAGTGCTCATCCAGAATCCTACCAGCTATGAAATAACTGTTTAATATTTCTAAAAAACTGTCAAGTCTGTGTAACCAAAAACAAAAATAACACAATTTAGCCTAGATTTCTGTCTTCAATTGTAGTTGTTTTAGTTGAGTATAACGTAATGAATTTTAACCTTTTTAAAACCTGGAGATATATTTCAATTTTTTCGAATACTTCATTTATTTTCTAATCATTAGGTTGCTCATGTAAGAGCTGAACGTGATATTCTAGTCAAAGCTGATAATCCTTGGGTTGTGAAAATGTTTTATTCATTTCAAGATTCAGTCAATCTGTATTTAGTTATGGAATTCCTTCCAGGTGGTAAGTTCAATTAGTGTTTTCTTGATTTAATTTATATCATTGTTGAATTGGTCTTAAAATATATATCTATATATATTTAAGTTCCTTCTTATCGTTAATTTTAACCTTTGCTATCACTGAATTTTGAAGGGTAGGTTTAGTAAACACATGTTCAGATTTACTGAAGTCTAATATAAAATTAACAGTGATATCAAATAATTAATGTGTGTAACTCAGATTAACCAGCTTACGTGAATCATAATTTCCATAAGGCATCATTATTATCTTTTAGCAACACGATAGTTAATGTCTTAATTGTAACTCATTTAAAAAGTATAGGTTTATGTACTCAACTCTGAATCTCACTGTTTGTTTAAAGGCTAGTGATGATAGTTTCCGACGGTCAAAATCAAGGTAGATGAATCTGGGTCTTTGTGACCCGCGAACCGAGTACAGACTGATATATGGATTCGTATAAAGAATATGACTATCAAGTTCATAAGCTTTTTTATTCTACAGTTTCATTACTAATGCAAATGTGATAACTTTTTCATTCAAACTTACATACAAGATCATCAGTTCTCACTGAGACCACCACATTTTTCAACTATTGTGTTCGAAATCCTAGTAATCTAAATTCCTAAGTTCAATTAGTTTGTGACATTGTGATTTTCATCAAACGTCAACAGTATGATGCAATCTCTGTCCTTCTTTATTCTAGTCTATTGCTTTTCATTCCTTTTTCCTTTTTTTGGGAATTATAGTTATGGAAAGAATTGTTTGTGAATTTTACTGCTAATCTATACTTCATTTTCTACTTCTATAATGCCTATTCATATATTATAATGTAATTCTTTCAATAAAATATAACAAAACGTAGTGGGAAACAATAGAATATTTTATGGAAAATAAATTTAATAATCATTATTATAACGATATTGTTACTATGGTAGTAATATATATTTTGTTTGTTTGCCTACATTAAGCGAATAAGATATGAAAAAAAGTAGAGAAAGAGAGAGAGCACGATACGATGACAGTTATCAGATGTATTGGGATTGTGTTTCTCTCTCATGATGATATAGACTGGTGTGGATTTATCATAACAATAGAATTTCTATCTGGTCACTTTTCATTAACTTATGAACAATAAATATAGGTGGGGTTTTATAATTTAACAAAATATAATGTACTTGATACTACTTTTAATAACAACTATCAATTGGTTGATATCTAAATCAAAGATTTCAGAATTTTGATTATTTTAAATCATAAAATTGAAAATAAATTCATTTTCTGAATTTTAAAATAAACGCTTGTACTTAGTCTTCCTGTGTTCTATCATTGATTGAATTAATGAACATTTTGTTTTATAAAACATAATAGTCAACTTCCTTGAATGATGACTTCTGGATAGTGCACTTCTGTTAATTTCTGTTGACTGTCATCAGGTTTTTTTATTCACCATAACGTGATATAAATGCGTTTGTTCGTGGTAGATATTTCGTACAAAATAATTACAAAAAGGAGTGACATATTCTTCTTTATTAAATCGTTAAACTATTCACAACAGTGATGTAGTGAGATATCCTATTTATTTATTTAAACACATAAAGATTGATACAATGAGGCACCAAATACGTATGTACCATATTTCGTTATTCTATTTATATGGGGGTTAAATACTACGCGGGCTCCCAAACCGAAACAGGTTGTTTTGTAGTGGCTGTGCTTCGTTAACCAATCACCCTCGTAACCTTTACCACATAATCTTCAACGGTATTTGAAATCAGAAGGTAAAGAGAAGCAGCGACTACAGTTTTATTAGCAGATACTCAGTCCACAGAGCAGTGAGTCGAATGAGTGATCCAGCGAACCGAGATTGTAGAGAGTGTTAAACTTACATGTATATATAGGGAAATGAATGGTTCATCGAATAAATTAAGCAGTTAATAATAAAGCTAGCAGAATGAATATATGCGCAGGCGGTAAGCAATGTTCAAGCATACACATTTCGTGCAAGCACAACAATAATAAAGGTACAATAAGTTGTTATGGTACGGATGCTTTGTCCGCTAAATAAATTAACAAAAGGGCTTAACTGAGTAAATGAGAACAAACTCAATTACACGTGAGTTGCTATAATTTTCTCAGATCACTCCTCGAGCCTTTGATCTAGAAGTCTAATCCTGCTAGGGTTGAAACTTTCACGAGTTCATTTAATCTGTGAACGAGAAACAAGACTTGGTAACCAAAGACCAGTAAGCTAGCTATTTATGCGTCCCAGCCCCGCTAACTAGAGAGAGAAGTCCAAGTTTAGAATGGGGAAGTATATTCTGCAAACAGCCAGAAACGAGCGACAACAACAAACACTATTCAGAACGTATATATACAGTACAAAACCGTCCTAGGGGAGTTACTAAGTAGCATACTAAAAGACGCAACTAGCCGATAGCATTTAAAATATTTCCCAGTGGGAAATACGACATGGAAGTGACAAGGGCGCCTTTGGCGCGAAAACAAAGAAATTCTAATTTTCTAAATAAAATTACAGAATTAGGACTTTCCCAAGTGAATTCTGGGGATCTAACGTCCCCAACAAATCCACAAGTTAGTGAAGCAACTTAAGGTGATGCAGTCTCATATTCATACGCCTTTTGTCCCCTCGGGTTCCTGGAGCACATATACACCATTGGTTTAGAATCCGAGTTTTCCAACTCCTTTAGATGGGTCATCCATATCCATCAACCCAGTTAAAGTACTAAACATTGGTTTTCTAAAAACGTAAACAACAATAATGCCGCGAGAAGGCAGTGAGTAGGACTTCCTTGTTAATGGTTGTATAATCGTGGCCATGTGAGCGCATTTCGAGGCAGAGAGTGGAATCTTTACGCCCTCGAGCGTACCAAGGCCATATGTTAATATATGTACACAATATATGTAATATTTGTGATATATTCAAGACTGTTAATGTGAATCGTTCAATATATATATACTTTTATACTTCGCTACACTACAATAAACAGACTTGACTTGTGAGTATAAAACGTAGCATCAAACTGTTTTCCAATATTAGTTGCTAAATATATCATGAATATATCATAATCAAAGTAGTTTATATGTTGTAACGAGCGCTTAACCTTTTGACTACTTAGACAAACTCTAACGGTTTACTTTGTTTAATTTTAATCAATTCGTGACATTGCACAATTATCTTCCATTTTCAATGATGAGTAACTTCCCTACACCCCCGATATAGTTGTACACGAATGGTTACTATTTCTAACCAAACCTCAGAGGATCACCACTCTCAGTGGTTGTTTAACTAATATTAATCCCTGATGTGATTTATGACACTAACAAATCACGAATCCACCTGTAATCAATTTTTATTGTTGTGATTATTTTCTATCACCTGTTCTCAATAAACACCGTAAACTGAAGTATATCAACATTGTTCTGCTATTGTTATTATTATTCTCTAATATGTAATTTATGCTTCAATGCATGCTGGGCTTTTTTTTTGTTCTCTCGTTGTTGCTGTTTTTGTCTAATCACTACTTCTAATCAAATGTAAACCCATTGAAATGAGTTCTTTTTGAGATTCGCTTTCGTTTTTTTCTTTGTATGTAGGTTTTTTTTAGTCTGATCAGACAGTATTTATAGTACAGAGTATTTACTAAATTTTTCAAAATTCTCACACAGACTACCATTATTCTTTTTTGACTTGAACCTTCATAATAAATTTTATTAGTGTGGATCATGCTTAAAATCTTAATGAACAATTACATAATTTTAAGTGTTATTTTTTATTTATCAATTTGTTTTTGAATAAAATTTTTGTTTACAACCATTACTTGTCTAGAATTACTATGAAATCAGTGGAATAATAAGATCATTTCTATGACAAAATCAATTATTGATATACAGTTTTGTGATTGAAAACTGTAAATGAATTGAAAGCGTAAACTAGTCAAATAACTCAGTTATGTTATCTAACTTAGCTTGTCATTGTAGACCGTGTTTAGGCTATATGTGAATAACAAATTTCTCGACTACATAATTAGATTGATGCTTTCTATCCCACAAACCGATTTGGTATGTACGCTTAGAAATTTACTTCTAACTTCAGAATTTCTTACTAGATGCTTAAAAAAATAAAAGAGGAACGCCTGCTGAATATCAGTGATCGTATGCTAACAGTCCAAAAATGTCCTTGACCTTGAAAAGTTAAGCTTCACAAGCACCCTTATATACGTACGTCTAAGTGTAAGTGATAAGTACTAATGTTTAATCTTTCTTCTACTCCGCTTGAATCCTACCTTTCGAATCGTTTTGTAATCGACTAACATCTTGTAGGTCATGATCCGCCTAATTGATTATACGCATACATACACCAGTGTAGTCATCAGTTTGTATTTCTAAAATAGTATACTTGATTTTAATGGATAAATTTCAGGTTACTTCAATTCAAGTAGAATGATCCATCATCTTTATATTATACTAAGTGTGTATGCATATTTGTATGCCCCTGTGACCTGTATTGTTAATTTTTTTGTTTTTAATATCGTTTTTTTATGGTTAGCCTACTATATCATCAATACTCTCTTTAAACTAAACGAAACCAAAAGTTTATAGCAAATGGTTGCTGCCTAATAATAGAATCTAGAATGCGCGTTTTGTCTTGTTTGAGACTCTCTAACTGGATAGACCAGTATGCCTGTTCACAATCAGATGATAAATTCTAAATAGGACGAAATGAGCATCCTGAATTTAATTGCTACCCCCGATTAATCTATTCTAACTAGATAAATACTGATGACAATAAATAAATAATATGACGGGTATATTGAGGCAATCTATACAGCAAAGTGTAATTATGCCAACATAGATTCATCAAAATTCAGTTTTGATTTCCAGTAACGGAATCGAACCTTTACTATTGATAAGAAAAGTCCAGCATTGTTTTACAAAAAATGAAATTATAACTTTTATTTACCATTTACTCTGTCATAAATAAATAAGTGATGAAAAAGGCTAGCAGATGGATATATAAGTCTGTAAAAAAATATGCCGTACGATAATTAGGTTATTCGGAAAACTGTTATGATTAACCTTTTGTTATTCTGAAATAATTTTAAAATATTCAATGTTCTGTTGGTACGGCTTTTGAGAAGCACGACAAAGCCTACAGTGGCTCTAAATGAGGCGAAGAGTCTCCGTTCGACTAGGATCTGAGAGAGCTTTCTGGAATATGAACGTGGCATACTACGATTGAATGGTAGTATAACTTGCCTCCTTGCGGATGGTCTGAATTATAATGATGTTATAGGTAGCGCTAATATTTTTCATTCTTACCCAGTAATCACTTCTGTTGCTTGTGACTTTCGACTGTAAAATTGTACACGTTCAAGTCCCGTCATTTGTATATCGTGTTTCGTCCACAATCAATCAGTGAACGTAATGTGCTCATCAATGACACTTGTATAGAGTTGGAGTAAAGAGGTGAATATTCTGTACGTACTATTTCCAAACCGATTTCCTCCGCATACTTTTTACTATTTGATTCACGTGATAATCTATTATCGTTGTCGATAACTTGGTTTATCGATGGTATCGATTTTTTTTTCTTTTGGTTCTCAAAGTAGAACAAATAAAATTACAAAATTGTTTTTAGATTTTCAATTATTTCAACTACAATTGATCGTTGTCATATCAGTCACTCGGTATTCATTCTATCGTTTTTGTCTTGGTTTATTTGTTTATTTATGTGCTTTTTTAAATACAGTAGAAAATCAAGTTCATTTCAACCTCTGTCTAAGTAATAATAATAATAAATAATAAAAATAATACAATTGAATATATGTTAACACATGGTTGAAAATGAATTCTCAATCTCGCTTGATCAGTTTTAAAATGACAAAAGGAGAATCTATCAATGTTTAAACGAATCGTTTGACAGAAATCGGTTGCCGAGTATATAGAAGACAATATTTTCGAAAATTATTTTTAAAATAATCTGAATGATTAACGTTGGAATTATTTAAATTTTAATCTCTGAGATAATTTCAAATATAAATTTTACAAATAATATTGAAGTATGTAGTTTGTCAGCGATCAATTATGAATCGTTAATTGTGACTAAGTCTTGTTATATATTTTCGAATTATTCATGATGAGTGTAGCGTAAGTAGTTGTTATGAACGCTAGTCCAGCAATTGAAACACTATAAATTACAGGCTCCTGGCTCACTTCAGTCGTTTTAGTTCACGTAGCGAAGACTCATTCAATACTATTATTTCTGTACTAAGATTAAGTTAAAAATACCCACTGATAGTGTCTAAAATGTATCCAACATCTTTCTATCAATATTTATCTTCAAATCTTTTTTTCAAAAAGAAATTCGTGTTTATACTGAATAATGCTAAATTACGGATGATTATAAACTCCTCCTGGCTCTGTGGTCTATAAATAAATTAGGTAAACTAGGCGGAACAATGTTTAAAACAGTTAGTCCCTTTGATAAATTTCGAAGACGAAGATTATCAGAACTATGTGATATATTAGCGCAATACATTTCGAACAATCTGATCACACATATACTTGTTTAGAGCATTTATATATAAAAATAAAAGGTCAACTGGACTGCAACGGGATAAGAGGAGATAATAATAATAATAATAATAATAATAATAATAATAATAATAATAATAATGTGAACACAATCCGTAACCTAATCACTCTGGGTAATAAGTAATTTAACTGTAAAGTATTTTTTTCACAATACTATTCATAATTTTGATAACAAAAAAGTGTTTATCTTATCTAGTTCATTTCTATCTATTTTGATGTTGTGATTTTCGTTTTTTGTGTTCTCATGTTCTAGGTGATATGATGACACTGTTGATGAAACGAGATACATTGACAGAATCTCAAACACAATTTTATATAGCAGAAACCGTTCTAGCAATAGATTCAATACATAAAATGGGTTTTATTCATCGTGATATTAAACCTGACAATTTATTACTGGATGCAAAGGTAGGTGTGCTTTTGTATGCATGTATGTATATAGGTAATCTTGAATTAGGAATATTGTGTTATTTTTTCTATAATTTTATATAGTACTGTTCGTCATAATTTAATAAGCGAATAAATTACAGTTCAAGTAAACTACCTCGTTGGCTCTAAGCATTTGTAATGAAGACAGATGTATCCGTGTGTAGAACAATTGTAGGTTAACCACAGCTTGGTCGATGGGATTGATTCTGTACTAAGGTCTATACATCATATTGCTTTTTAATAAGTGATTAGTTTTATAAGAAGTCAAAATACATCTGTGCATATAACATGAGTTGGTGTAGATTTTAATGCCTCAGAGAAGACCAATTTTTTTGAGATATCAAATATTTCTCAATGACAGGTGCTAACTACCACAAAGCTTGGTTCCAAAACTTCTTTACAATAGCCTCCAACAGCCTAGATTCAGTGTAGAGCACAGTATGAATTGTATAGTTTAGAGTTGTCTCAAATGCAGAAAATAGATAAAAATGGAAGGAATAAAAAAGAAATGTACTAGTTTAAAAGCGAAACTCTCCTAAAGATAATACAATGTTGAGACCCTTATGAAAGCTAGTGAGTAAATGAATTTGGTATTGGTAGATTTTCTTAACTGGGGGATTTAATTACAAAACCTCAACTGTTATTTTGGATAACACTATCAAACAGAGGAAAAGTTTTGCCAAATCCATCCATTCTGATTGCCGTGTTGGAAATTTATTCACATTGAATTTCTGTTCTTAGATGACCTCTGATCACGTGATTTATTGACCTGGCTTTCATCAATAAGTGGTTTGAATCTGTCGCTACATGTCTATATACGGCACAGTGACTTCATTGTCTGACTTTAACAAACTCATCAATGATTTTACTGTATCTTCGATATATACAATTTTGACCCTTTATCGGTCAAATCTATATTGGTTATTGTCTAGACTCATTGATGTCGTTTAATTATATTTCTATGTTCGTTAATCTTCAATGAAGAATACTCTCATTTTCTTCAATATAATATATGTCTCAACAGGAGCAGGTTGTCATGTCACTGATTGTTATTCACTGTTTATTTTTTTCCAAGGTATAAATTAGAAGCTATTTTGTTACTTTATTGAGTAATGCTAATTTCCAAGGCTTCCAAAATTTTATTTCTTTCTTAAAAGATAAACATCTTTCGGTTCTTAATAACGGTTTTACGGTGGTAGGTTTTATATATATATAGGTATTCCTTGGAATAATAAAAATATGGTTATTGTCTCCAAGTTTTGTGGAGTGAGAATGCTGTAGGGAAGGTTTAGATCTTATTGTACGTACTCAGTCTCATTTGCTTTTTATTGCTCCATCATTATTGTCTTCAAGTATACCATCAACTTTCCTGATAAAAATTTTCTTTATCAAAGACTACCATGATGAGTCCTTTGTCAACTGACGCTGTAATGATTTAATCTTTATTCTCTAATCCTGTCGAGGCCTTTTGTATCATAATCGGTTGTCGATCATATACTGTGTCGATTAGAAGGCCTAAACATTTATTTTCATCAGCTTCTAGAAGTCGTTAAAGAAAATTCCACCTGAATTCACAACATATATACACAGTCGTTAACTTCATCATTTAGTGTCATGATATCATTTCGTCAATCCTTGATATTGTTTTACCACAATCCTACTTCAACCAATATCGTACAATAGAGTAGACTGTAGTTTAGAGATGTGTAACTGTTGACTACACTACTTCGGCTGTTGCTTATAAATCAGTTTTTCGACTTAATCGACTTATCAAATAATACTATTAAAGTAATTACTAGAATTAATGTTGTATTTTAATGCAAATTATTTGATATTTTTGATTTAAATCCAGTTGATCTGTTGTATTAATTTAATTTATTAGTGTACATACTACTAATAAAATGGTTATGTTAATGCATATATCTATTATTCTTTTTTTAAGAAAACGAAAAACATATCCTAATTTCAGTTCAGCTTTTATTAGAAAACAAGAAAGAAAGCCCTTTCTCTTTGTTCTTCTATTTCGTTATGTATTTTTCATCTTACTCTCTTTTCGTTAAACAATGCTTTGTTCAAATATGTGCGATACACAAAGCTAGTGTTTATAAACAGATGTTTGTCTCTCATTTCTTATTTCTTCTCTTGCTTAAATCGTCTCTGAGTTTTCTAAATAACATTTTCATAACTTAGATCACAAACTGGTCTCAGCTATACTACTATTGGAAACTTGGAAGTGCTGGACGGGCATTTAGTCTTAATATGAGACTCCACAGAAGTGCGCATCCACAACCTTGTGTCCGAGAATGAAACCAAGAACCTTCGGTCTCGTACGCAAACCCCTAACCTCTACACTACTAAGCCGGGATCTATTAGTGTACATGTCAATGCACAATACTGCGCAATCCTCATCAATTGCTTGAACTCTACTGGTCAGTACTTCTTACTCGAACTCAGAGCTAGTTTCTCATGACCACATGATTATTGTTAGTACAAAGAGAATTAAGGAGATTGTAGAATTCTCATTGTTTAACTCACGTATTGATCTTATCCAAATCACTATTGAGACCTGATTCCATTCCTGGATGCGATTTCGTGAATCTTCACTGTTTATTAGTCCCATGCTACGATTAAACGGCTGTCTTTCATGTCATTAATAGTTTTCTAGTTAATATCAATTCATGACTGAAACTACTTTAAAATTCTACAATCTCTACTAAATGTCTCTAGATTAAAACACCACTTATTTAGCATTCTAATAATGTCATAATGATTTTCCTTTTTTTCCTCTCAAAACTCAATCATCTAACTCATCGTTCATGCGTTTGCATTTATCAACATAACGTAATCACAACTACAACTTTATCATATTCTCTGGAATGGTCCATAGGGTCATATTAAATTGAGTGATTTTGGCTTATGTACAGGTTTGAAAAAAGCTCATCGAACAGATTTCTACAAAGATTTATCTCAAGCTAAACCAAGTGATTTTTGTAAGTACATGTATGTGTTGTTGTTTCGTTTTTTGTTTCTATCAATAATAATTTCACCATAAATTGTTCTTTTTATTGTTATTGCTTTTATAATTATGGTTACCATAAATATCGGTTTTCCGACGAAATTGAGATGAATCAGATACAATTAAGCGCTTTCTTTTAAAAATACTATGTCAGGCGAGCTTTACATATGTACACACCAAAATAATTTTCATCTGTATGTTGACATGCATTATTTATTAATAAAAGTAGAATTTACTCCATCACTATTGTTGAAAGTATCACTTTGTTAATGATAAGAATCAAAATATGAACAATTATTTATTACACAAGCTGGTGGCTACTTGCACCTGGACCGATGCACATATGTGCCTGGTCCTACGTTGTAGCTGACTGACTGACTGCACCCAGAAGTTACGTGGATTAAGCTATGACGTTTTAAGCAGTCGATACTTGGTTTGAGTCCTGGAGTGAACATTAACTCAGGGATATAGATAAATCTAGTCGAAATACACGTCCTAGAACCCAATGCTAACCACCATCCATATCTGTTTATAGTTTTATTTATTATTAGTGTGCTGTAATCATAAATTATTTTGTCCATTTTATTGCATAATAATGATATCATAGAATAGTATTATTTTAATTTATTTCCTAATTTCAACTTGGTGAAGTGTACAGCACTAAGTTGACCTCCAAATGTAAACATTTTTTTATGAAATTCATTTCAGTCACTGAAATTGTATGCCTTACTAATGGTTAAAAAAGTCCAGTTAATGTTATATGTTTAAAATATTCAAACTAAGATTCGAATCAGGTAATATCATAAATCACTTCAAACTCCTCCAGAGCACGTTATTCACATATAAATAATAAGTAATAGCAAGACACACATTCAATGAACTCATCAACACTGACCCGACCGTTGTTGCTACCTTGACGTGGTGATCAGGCTTACCTATCGTGATGAAGCAACCGAGCTATGCTGGCTGGAACAACCGTTCCTCAAAGTCGTACCATATCAGACAGGTTGGTTGAAGAGCGGTAAGACTAAAAGCAACAAACCCAAGGTCCGAAGGCGAAGTCGTACTGCTGACTGTACAGAGGTGTGACAGCAATAATGTGTTTCCTTCAGACAACCAGCATGACAGCAATGCTGCCTTCCCACAAGGAGGGGTGGGGTTAGAAAAGGTCGAACCTAAAAATGCGCACCTCGCCTTATCCCACGGATATCAGTCTCCGGCGGTAAGGTCTCAACAAGTACGGAGCTAACACAAAAATTACCCATGAAAAGGTCGTGTGTGACCGACCTCAAGCAGTCGTCTCTTGGGCACTGCGGTCACGCTCGCAGGTCACTAAGACTACCTCAAATCCAATTTCTTCTTCAGATACCTCCTCCTCTAAAATAATTCAAAGTCGGAAAATACATATGCACATACACATATTTACTCATCAATTTATATAATTAGTAGTTTAATTATTATCATTTTATAATATCTATACTTCAATAATAAATTTTTAATTGTTACCCACATATTTTGAGCATATATACAGTAACGATTATATCGGATAGTATAAAAGCATTTATTTGTTTTTCTTCACTATCCATTCTCATCTTGATATATTTCCATGTACGGGTGCGTGTGTCATTAAGATAAATTATTGGTTTGTATATAGTTTATTCAATGAAATCCTTATCATAATTCAATACTTAAGTATGATATATATATATATATATATATATATATATATATATATATATATATATCCAAATCTGTTGTTTTCTAGGTTGGTCCACTGATAAATGTTATATTATACTGTGTTATTATAATCTACTTCTATGGTTTATGTAGGGAAGAGCAAAAAAATATAATTGTTATTATTACTTCAAACAATATTAACTGTACTCTAAATCCGCTTCATTTTTATTTTGAACCTTTCATTTAGGATGAATTAGGTTCTTTTATGATAAGTGACTAATTTAAAGTATTCGATGGTGGTAGTACTCTGAATAAATTATATATGTATACTCGATATGCGAGTGACATAATTGAATAGATGAATAAATATTAGTTCTGCGTGCGTGTATGTTAATTTAAACAGAAGCTGTTATTTCTTTGTTCGTTTCTTGATATTTCATGAATGTTATATATACGTATGTGTCCATAAACGAGCTTCGTTTAATTGGTAGACTTTTTTTCCGAGTATAATCCAATTAATGAAGTGGCTTTATGGTAATCGATTTAATTTGTAGGCGGTGTTCGTTGTAGATTTACTTCAATTCGTGTATCATTAACAGCCTCGGAGAATTATAAAGACTGTTGCGTCTTAGTATTTGATACTCAACAAAACTCATGTAAGATCTCATTGATAATTGGGCCTATGAACATCAGATCCCGCTGCTAACTTTAGACAATTAGACCATTTAGATGACACTTAACTTCAATGAATCTGTACAGTTGTTGAATATAATGTAACATTGGCCGATTTGTTACTGAATCATATCATTAATTATACTAATATGAAGTATCAAAGATTAATTCAATGGGTAGAACTATATTGTATCGTAATATAGAGAAAAAGTCAGATCTAAATTAAACGGAAGATTTTTTAACTTGTTTTAATCCACATTGTATTAACGGGGTAGATGGATAAAGACTGACCACTTTCAAAGTTAATCATGTTATTATCTAACACATTCTATGGTGAACATATGACGTGAGGAATTTAGATAGTATCATGTAATCGTTGACTACTAACTGTATTTTGTTAATTTACTAACTAATATGTATCTGAGTAACCTGAAAGTTATGTGGAATTGTTTTGAAAAATCTACAGTATAATCAGCGGTTGATTGGCGACAAAAATATTGATTACTAGTAATAATTAATTAAATTCCTTAAAAAAATTAGAAACTTTCTATTTGTATGTTGCATAAAAATCTTGAACATGATACCGTGATAAATTATTTGATCTTCAGTTATCAAATAATCACACTATCAATCCAGTTATTTTTCTTATTGATCAGAATAAAATTAATTATCAGTTTGGGGTTGTTGCAGATTGTTGGATTTTTTACTGACAAGTATCATTCGCTCACTGGTCACAACTTGTGACCAGTGGAATTAAACTGTGTTAGGTGCGAGGCAGTTATTTATCAAAGACAACGTTGGACTTCGGCTCAGTGTTTAGAGGTCAAATATTTGTACGCGATACCTGAATGTCCTGGGTTCGATTCCTGCTTGTAGGCTAGTAAATACACAATGCTGAGGAGTCTCATATTTAAATAGAGCGGCCGTCTTACGCTTCTATCTCTCAGTGGCGGTCTTACTTAGATTAGTTTATGATTTCAATAAAATATTTATCTTATATAACCTATTTTTCAATATTTACTCTCAATGAATATTTAACTCAGTACTATTTCATTTAGAGTTATTTTTACGACTAGAATTTGAGTGTTTTGTTCATGTTCATTCATGTTTTTTTAAAAATAAATACTGATCTATTTATGATCAGCATCAATTGATTTGTAATTGACCGGAAAATGTTTTTATGTTCGCACGAACCTAACACTTTTAGATCTTATAATGCAGCATACACTGCCTAAAACCATAGAGTTTCTAAATCGAATGATTCACTTCAATTCCGATCGATTTTCGAGGTAGACAATAAATATATCGTTTAAAAAATAAACAAATAAACTATGGTTGAACTTGATTAAATCTTTTACTTACATCTCTCTTTTTTAATATCTGGCAGTTGTAATTAATTTTGAACAAACAGAAAAAGCTTTTATATGTAATTGTATTATTCCTCATTTCTACTGGTTACTTTTCTTCATTTAATCTGAAGTCATGCTGGGTTCATTTTATAAATAAATATTTGATAAAAATGCATATGAATATTGTTATATGGTTGCACTTGTTAGTATTTACAGCATTTCAATACTTATCATAAGTTTACTTAGTTCACTGGATTGTGAAAATATGTTCAACCTGAAGGACCTGTTTCTTTTGTTGTTGTAAGGACTGATATGAGATGATGAAAAGTCAGTGAAAGCTAGGAAACACCGAGTAGTTTGTTTTCTTGATAATCCCTTGAGGACTCCATCACAAATGTATAATGGTAAATTGAAAGATTTCGTTGCGCCTTGTCTGGTGTTTTTTCTTTCAGTTATGGTCGATAATGTTACATTTATGTTTCAGGTTACTTTGTAGTGGTATTGTTTTCATTATTATTTATTTATTTATTATTATTATTATTAAAGCATTGTTTCCGCTCAGAGGTCTCGATATTTGGTTTTTAATGTTGAAACAGTTGCTGATCGCCTCTATCAGGAGTGATTTAGTTGCATTAGTTTTGTATGTTCATATAAATCGTTAGTTTTATCCACCTCTTTGGTGTTCATCCTGTTGTGCTAATGAGGTGTGGGATCTTGGACCGATGCACAATTGTGCTTGGTCCTACTTTGTGGCTGACTGACTTACTCCGCCTATTTCGAACTACATTTCATGGTTATGGATATTGACTACACACTAAGATTATTGTTATTTAAATTATTTCGCACTAATTTATTCTCTTTTGAGGCAGGTTGTTCTCCATTTATAATTGATTGACTGCCTAGTTTCTAAATGCATTCACTAAACTTAGTTGTTATAATTGTTTTGTAACAATGAATCTGTTTTGTAAACATCGTTTTTTGTCATGAGAACATAGAATGAAACTTAAAAATAGTATATAATGCATTTATACAACATATTTTCAATAGTTTGGTCACATTTATGTACATGTCAAGACATTTCTAATATGAAAATTAATGAAGGTCAACTGTATACAAGTTCAAATAAGTACATAATGATATTTGAAATATATAAAATAAAGAAATTTCATTTTCATAATCCGTATATTAATAAATTATTAAGAAATATCAGAAGGGGTTTGTGGAGATTTTAGAAATTTCACAGATTGAAATCATGAGTCAATTGAAGCTAGACCACCATGGTAAACCTGGAGGCACTGGACGACCGTTTCGTCCTAGTACGGAACTCTTCAGCAGCGCGCATCCACGATCCCGCACCCCGCGAGTTTCGAACCCAGGACCTGTCAGTCTCGTACCAAGCGCTAAAATCTCCACAAACCTCTTTTGATAATAATCATCTGCTCACTAATGACTGACTTCAAGAGACACTCCTGAAGTTCTAGTGGGAAGCCGTTACCAGTGGGTTTCAACCAGGTCTGTTGTGAGATATCAGCTCACTGAAGACAATGGTATACGGTGGCGCAACTTCTTGGATTGGTTGAAGTTAGACATTAACACCATCGGATGCCGGCTCAGTGGTCTAGTTGGTTAGGTGTTTGGCGCGAGACTGATACGTCCTGATTTCGAATCTCGCGGGGTGCGGGATCGTGGATGCGCGTTGTTTAGGAGTCTCATACTAGGACGAAACGACCGTCCAGTGCTTCCAGGTTTTCCATGGTGGTCTAGCTTCAATTGACTCATGATTTCAATCTATTGAGAAATACATAAAAATAAAGACGCTAATAATAAGGATTTTTTTGTAGGAAAAATACGAATGATTCAACGATCTCCGTAGTTGGCTTAAACAAATCGTAGCATCAGTCTTTAAAATAATTGATTGTTAGCCTGAGTCATAGAGTTAAATACAGAATACGTGATTGATGTTTGCACGATTATCGCATTTAGCATAGTTAGAGATTTCAGATGACATGGCTTAGAATCACTACCAATGAAACAGATGGCTTCACTCTTCCGTTAGATCCTCAGTGTCGCAATTACCTTGGAAAATTTTCTATGGCATGAGTTCATGATTTCTTGTCAAATCATTTTTTACGCTTGATCTTTCCTACTATCATCAATACTATTGTGATAAACGAACACTCAGATGGGGAAGACCAACGTATTGTTTAATGCACAATTACACAATGCTTTAGCAAAATGTGAAGATCATCACATATCTTCTTTGAATTGTCTCTTACAACCTTCATTGTTCCTTCGTCCTGTTGTTAGTTTGACTGCTTCCAATTTTCTTCTCTCTTTTCATTTTAATTTTCTCAACCTTCTGCTCGTAAACGTTTCACTTCCAACTTGTTTTACATACTACTTATATCTGCAATCATAGGTAACATACACCACACTATGATTTAATATTATGGTTTTGATTGTACTAAAAATAATCTTCATTGTTTCCTTAGTACTATTTAAACTTCCATTAATCTTATTTCTGTAATTTGTTTTCTCTGAACGAGTGGCTTGCATTAAGTCACTAAACGTCAAAAATAAAATTTTCTACGCATTGGGATATAACAAAGATATTTTTTCATTACTATTATTATTACTGTTACTTTTTATAGTACTTCGACATTTCACTGTACTGATGCAGTGTAGTAACTCTAATTCGTTGCACATATGTACCACTTTTACATTGTGCATAACTAAATTGAATCAAATGAAGGGCTGTTTTGTATATATATATACCAAATTTTATGATTGGAATGAGTCTACTATGTATATAAATTAGAATGGTTATGTTGTGGTGTGATCTACTTATATTGATATAAGTAGTATATAACGTGCGTTAAAGGAACGTAATGTCTGGCATCGGAAGATGGCGAAGATCAAGAAAGGTAGAGCGAGAACACATTGGAATTTGTAGGAAAATGCATGAACAATGGAATGGGAGACAATGGATTGGTGTTTGCAACAGAAACAGTTCAGTTTGGTTTGATGCGTGAATATTTTGCAAATTGACGATTGACTATATGGTATTCAGATTTTGTTGAGATAGACTGTAATTGTTGTGCTAAATACATCCATTTGTCCCCACCCGTGTTCTTGTTCACTTCAATGTGACTGTTAGTTTTTCAAGTAATCATCGAATACATCTTCACAATAAATATTTGATTGATAAAATATCTGATAATATTCATGTAGAGTATTTATTATTGATTTATTCAATGTTTTCTCTCATTTCCACTTCCCAAGATTAATGTCGTAAAAATTTCACCAGCATTCACATGACACAATTAAAATATAACTGAAAAATTCCAAAGTTTTTTTTTCTTCTAAATATTCAGCAATGTGATTTACTCCTGTCGAATTTACACTGTAAAATATAAATAGTATATGTCAGTTCTATTTAAAGGTTTTGTTTCAAATTCATTAATGATTTTGAAAAAAAATAATATAACACAGTTAATAATAAAATAATTTATTTAATTAGTCAATTGGAATTTTATGCATTCATTATTGATGCTTTACATAATAATAACATAGAAATCGATAAGACTACCTTTGAGCGACGCTGCACTGACCATGTGAGTGCCTACCTGATAACTAAGATCAAATGAAGATTATAAATTTGTGTGAGGAATTTGAATTATGATTTACAGTTGATGGTTAAGGTTAGAAATTAGATTTAGTGTTCTCATCACGTACTGACATCAGCTATAATACCAAGGTTCTATTTAACCAAATGAGTGAGTAAATTTCGTGGCGAAATCTTATACCTGATTGGTTCGTCTATAAATTATAGTCTTGCTTAAAAATTTAACAATATTTGTAATATACTCAAAATAAATACGATTCCTTTGAATTCGAATGTTCAATGATAAAGTTGTGATTAGATAACTTTCTTTATGAGTCAATTAAAATATTTCCATTAATATCAATTCTTCTTACTCATTCTAATTGTTATTAAGAACTGAAATAAATCCTAATTATTGAATTAAATATAACACATTTTCCTGACAATGAATGAGTAACAATTTACAATTATTATAAAGATCGTACTGCTTCATTATTTTCACAGTTCAATTGACGAGTCAATCCATGCTAAACCTGTAAACATTGAACGGCGGTTTCGTCCCAGTATGGGGTTCCTCAACAGTACTCATCTACAGTCCCGTACGTGGGACTCGAACTCAGAACCTTCGGTTTTGTATGCGAACGCCTAACCTGTAGACCACTATGCAGGCATCCAGCGGTGTTAATATCTAACTTTAATCGACTCATGATGTTTCTCAACCCTTCATAACTTTCCCACACACGACACTGACTGGACTCCACTTGTCACGGCTTCACATTAGAATCCCAGTAAATTAATCCTGAAGCTAGTCACTAGTGAAAACATGATTATCACTATGCGGATTTGTGGAGATGGCGATTACAAATTGCTGTTTTATTTCCATAGATGATTCAAAATATATTAATTGCTTATGACATAATTAAATATAGAAAGAAATTATTCTAATGAATAATTTATTTATCTTATCACATATACTATGGTGTGCTAAAAATATTCCATGTAAACATCACCATTATGCTTTTAGAATATATCATTATTTTTCAACTCATATTTTACATTATAATAGCCTCTGGTCGTGCAGACTCCAGGAGAAGAGCAGAAGGTTGGAATAAAAAACGACGAAGATTAGTAAGTGTTCATTAAAGATTTTTTTTCGGTCACTCCTGTTTTTTTCTCAATTGCTCTATTTAATCAAACGTTTCATCCAATTCATCTAATGATTCCTTTATTCCATAAATCGAACAAAACTTTAGGTTATACTGTTAGATTTCTATGATTATGCAATAATTATACCATTCATATTCTCCATGTAATTGTTTGGAGTATTTCTTTTTATTTAAACTCATTCATTTTCTCTTTCTCTCACCTATTGTGAAAGTTCTATATTGATTCCGTTTTTTTTAGAATAATAAATCATTAGCATTCTATGAAATTAAGTGGTTTAAATTGTTGTCTTTTACTATAAGTTGTGCACTTCATAGACTCTTTACTCATTTTATTTAACCATTGATTTCGTATTCTTTTATTTGATTTCTAATATTCTAGTGTACAATAGTTCAGTGCAAATCTAAAGCTTAGATTAGAATGATTTGATTTTTTTGTTACGTAATGTTTACATTTTAAGAAAAACGTACTTGATTAATTGAATGGAATGAGTGAGTCGCAGATAGAGGGACTGCGTTATTTGATTACTGCTCTTTCACACACAGTTGTGACGTAATCTCATAAGGTGTTCATAAGTTGTTTTAACTTAAAATAAAGTAGTATACTGATTTTAGTAATACTTATAGCAATCTGAAATAATAATAATAATGTAACTGACCCAGTACAAGTGTATTTACTGAACTTTGGATTAGATTTCCTTTTTGTTTGGAGATTAATGATACTATCCAGCAGATTAACTTGTCCACGGTACAGCTAGGTCCAAGTCTACAAAATTTGGTTAGTTGAAAACCATGTGATTTTAACACTAACTCATTATCTACAGTGGATAACAATCAATCTAATGTTTTAGGTGATGTTAACGTGTAGGGGCGACCTCCTTGATTATCTGGGCTACCTGTTCCTGTCATCTACATATTTCACCAAGTTATCTGTTTTTGTTTGTTTTAACGCATTATTATGTCTATCAATCGCATAAATTATTCAGGCGGGTTTGTAAAAAGTTTACAACCCAACTGGTGATCACTCAATATCTATCATCAGGGTCGATCAAGAAATAAGAAACGAAAACTTTTTAAAATACTTTATGCTGAGAATTCCATATTGTACCAAAAATGTAATTTTTAATAAAGCCATTAATAATAGTAACAATAATAAGCACAGATGATGTTGTCGTGTAGACTGACAGTGAATTCTCTAGAATTAATTCACACAATATTTCATAATAGAGTGATTCGAGACTCCAATTATCAAATAGGGTTACGTAATAGTCAGGGGGTTAGAGAAGAATATAAGGATGAAAATAATTTACGTATCAAAACTATGAATGATAATTGTTCACTTGACAAATATGGAAAAAAACTAAAAAGCATAAAAGTCATCATAATAACTGAGTAATGATCATAAAGTATTGTTAAAAGATAATGATAACTGATTATTGTTCGAAATTACAAAACGCCAATCCAAAAAATCTCGAACATTAGGGCCAAGGCATTAATTCAAACAATTTAGAGAACACAGTATCATCAAAAAAGGCAGTTGAGCTAAAAATTGTCTTCACCATTTCAAATACTAATGATTTCAAGAATTTTTTCGTCATAAATGAATAATGATTTTTAGTTTGAACTGAGTCAAATATACTTTATACGGTTATTATTTAGTTGATGCAATCTGGGTTTTTTTATTATTATCTATGTGAAAAACTAAGTCTACTTCTTTCACCCTATTGCACATTCGCTTATTTATTCTCATATGATTACTTGCGAATAATTTATTTTCAATTTGGATATTTGTACAGATTATAGTATTTTCACAGTTGAATTCATGAGTCGATCTAAACTAGACAACCATTAAAGACCTGGAAGCATTGGCAGTTACTGAACGAAGACAATGGGAGAGAGTTGGACAAGATCATGGATCGATTGAAGTTAGACATTAACATCATTTGATGATTACTCAATGGTCTGTAGGTTAAGGGTTTGTACACAAGTCCGTAGGTCCTGGGTTCCAGTTCAGTGTGCGGCATCCTTGACGCGCACTTTTGATGGGTCCCATTCCAGGACGTAATAATCATCTAGTGCTTCCAGGTTTTCAATGTTTGTCTAGATCAGATTGACTCGTGATTTCAACTATGAAGATGGATTATTTGTAGACATAGTTTTCACATTGTTTTCGTCTCTGGAAGGTTTCTTCATATGTTTTTTCTTCAAATATTATATAAATTCGTTTGTATATATTCACTCCTAGGGTTTTTAAAAAAAACACAGAAAAAACACTAACCATAGTACATATTATTTTCTGTCCAAGTACATTTGGATTGAACTGCCTCATTACATCATAAATTGTAGTTTAACTGTAGCGAATGTATACCACCGGGATTAGATGGTTGCACTTTATCATTAATTAGTTGAATTTACACACTGGATAATGCCATTGGTTACCAGCTCAATGATCTTAAAGTTAGCCATCTTTAATTTTTTAAAAACTGACGGCTATAGATTCGATTCCCAGTCTAGTTGTGGATGTTCCTTTTTTATCTTTCCCTAATGAAATGAACAGTAGTGATGGGAGAAATTAATACAAAATTGTAAATAAATTTACGATAATGAAATAATTATGAATACATTTGGATTTTTTCACAAATACAAGCAGATACGTAGAAGTATTTGATGTACTACCGACTTAATTTTTAAAAATCATCCATTAAATTAATAATTTCTATAAAAATCTTAGTTTCTTAATGTTAAATTATCAAACTTTTAAAAAGCTTGACTTATACTACATTTAACATTAATGAATTATTGAAATGAATAACAGTCAATTGTATTGAGAGAAAAATGTATGCGAAATTGTATTGCTCAATAATCATATAACTAATCTGAGGCATAGTCATTATTAGTAATTGAAACTCAATAAAATTAATACTTTAACCATTGGTATTAGTACCTTTTCAAATGTTTACTCATGACATTTAAATAGAACAAAGCATCAGTTGTTCATTGTCTATCCATGTATTTAGACGTTTTATTATTTTATATTCATTATATGACTGTCAATCTGAAAGAATTTTTTAATCAGGTTTTTTCCATGTCATTAACAAATGTTATTCACTACTGTTATTTATTCAGTAATATTTACACTTTGGTATTTAATATCGTGTTGTTTGTTGTTTTGAAGATGATTTTCTAATTAATTTTGACATATGATCTATTCTTGGTTATATTCAACGCTTAAAACATGCTTATTCTAATTGTTTTTGCATGGCTAAATTGTCTTCTTTTTCAGTTAAATTACAAGATGATACTTGACTAGTTAAATTTATTTCTTCCCATCACCGTTATTTCTCATTTTTTAATAAACAGAATTCTGTGATTTCGGATAGTTTTGTAGTTGCGAATGTATTGTTTGTCAATTACTTACTTATGCCTGTTACCTACCCCTCATTGAACATCATTTGCCGCCCACCACTGTTTTTTTCAATAATGGACAGTTAAATAAAATAGTTTTTATTATAACTAATGAAACTATATTATAATAAGTCATATACTCTGTATGCGAAATTCTTTATCATCATCGTCTGAGAATCATGTAGTGGAGCACTGTTTTATTATTTACAGCCTTTGTTTTACTAAATGCTTGGTAGTAGGTTCGAACCCAGCCATCAATAATGATTAAAAAGTAGTCTTCATCATAGCATTGCATTCAATGAACCTGAATTTCGTTGAAAATACTGTGTTAGATTCTCATGATACAACAGTCAATGAAAAGAAAATTCACTCAAATTTTCCTAAACGGAAATCTATCGAAACAAAGATTTAAATAAATGAATTCATTTAAATCGTAAATAGCTTGAATGTAGCTTTTTCTGGGTGGCAAACATTTTGAATTTTCAATATATCTTTGTTGTTTAATCTAAGTGTGCACTTTATTGATTGCTTAATAGTAATTTTGATAATTGTCACATGTTTTACGTGTGAAAATATAGAGTGGTCCGACTAATGATCACGCTATTTTAGGTCATATATATATACTTTAAAACGGTTTTTCATTTAATGATATAAATTGCAAAATTCTTATTAATTGTACTTATTTACATGACATAGCTGAAGTTAAACACCGCCGACTGTATATGTAGTTTAACTTTAATTATTGTACATATTATCAAAAGCTGAATTATATTTCCTACAAATTTGGTTGAAATCGAACATTTTGTATTTCCCTTGAAAGTTTGATCTAAGCATCAAGGGAATCTCTCGATTGACTTTAAGCATCACCACATAGTTCTGACAGAGAGTTTCAACTGTTATCAAATAGAGGTTATCAAGAATCCATGAATATCTGTTTTAGGCAAGAATGCATGGATACTTCTGTATGTTAACAGAAAGTTTAGATAATGAATAAAAGATTTTAAAGAAAATTAATTTTTTAACAGTACAAATTATGTATGACAAAGTGAATACTCACCAACGCTGATGTAGAATCAAAATGTTTTCAAGATTTTTGCTTCTGAATTTCGTTGATAAACTAAGATGATTTGTAAATGCAAATAAGAACACTGCACAAGCGATATTGAAAATATAAGTGAATATATTTTGTTGTGTTTGCTAATGGCTTTTTTTATCAACTATCGACACTGAACGTGTTGGCAATAAGAAGAAAGGAAATATAATCACTGTATTACTTTCTAATTTTCCAAAAAAGTCATAATAGGTCAAAATCTATAGTGCTAACTGACTAGTATAGTAACTAATCTACGACATCGAATCTCAATGCTTCTACGCCACGAATAGATTCAATTTATGGACCGCAGGGTTTTGTTTCAACGAAGCGGTATATATATTAGTACGTTTTCAGTAGTCAGGGAAAAAAAGAATAAATTACTTGAGTTTTTATGACTAGTTGTTTGATATTTTAATCTGAGTTTTGTCGAAGCTTATTACTCAATTGACTACTACATATTTTCACAT